GAAGATGTCAAGATACAATCCTTCCACAAGGGCACCCACATGTGGACTCAAGTCCCAGCACCAACCACAGCCCTGGCATCTCAGAACTCCCCCGACAGGGAGCCAATTCCTGCCACAGAGCTTTCTGCAGATCAAGAGTAAATATCATCTGTGTCTTTGGTACTTCACATCAATCCTACCATGTCTCAGCTCTACTAATGCCAGCTACATACACACTCCTGAACGTTCTCCTTCACCCACATTGTCCTGAGCTGTGTCACCCATGCTGGAAAAGGACCTGAGCCTTCTCTTTTGGGCAAAGGAAAGGGAGAGCCACTGACTGCTGCCCATGGAAGCCAGACACTAACAAGGGGCCCAGCACAGCCTGTCCTGCCTGTGTGACCTTCAGCAAATTACTTATCCTTTCGGCCTCAGTTTCCTTATCTGTAAAATGGAAGTGATAATTCTTCTACCCAGTTGGAATGTGGTGAAGATTAAATGTGACACAATATATGTAAGACCCTGAGCACAGATCCTGATATTGCTATCCATAATTAACGCTAGTTTTCTTCATTTTAGCTAGAGGACTAGGAAAACATCAGGAAGAAAGGAAAGATAGAAGAGATATAAATAGGAGGAGGATCAGAGGAATCACCTCAAAGTAGGCTATGAAGTCCTTCAGGTTTGGGAACGCATCCAGGCACTTGGGCTCAAACATACGCAGATAATCAAGGATGTCATAGGCCAGGAAATCCACATAGGTGAGCTGCAGAAAGGTGAAGCACGAATGGGCGCCAAACTCTGAAACCTGAAAACAATGACAAATCCACATCCCCCAAAGCCCTCCTCTTACCTTGTCCCCTGCAAACCAAGGCCTCTTCCCCAGAAACTGTGAGAAGAGCTTCACCTTTTCAGGGAGCGCCTCCAAGTACTCAGGCTTCAGTTTCTCCTGAGGCACAAAACAGCTGTCCCCACCCTCAGAAACAGACTCCCTGGGCAGGAGTCAGCCCTCCCCAGGGCTGTGCATGACCCCCAGCTGCCACAGGTGAGCAGCCATGACCCCTGACTGCACGTGGGTTGGTACCCGGGCTATGATTTAATCCAACCTGTGTTCATTAGACTCCTACTGGGGACCACCTCTCATCTCTGAGAGGCAATGAGAAGGCAGAGAACAATACCACCCTGTCCCTGCATCTGTCACCACTCATCTCCAAGCACACTCACTGGGCCAGACCCAGGAGTGCTATTTGATGCAATTAAGGGTTATGAGGTTACTCGGTTGGCAGTACAGGGAGCAGCTTAGAGGATCAGAAGCTCCAAGGAGTTCAAAGGGCAAATAGGACCAGTGTAGATGGGACTCAAGAGTCTAGTTTACTTATTAAACCCTGTCCAATCCTAGCCTTCTGAGATAGGACTCACAAAGTCAGGGTTGTAGCAGAGGCACACCAGGGCCATGCGGGTGTCCATAACCTCATTCTCCAAAATGTCTATGCGAATCTTCTCCTCTTCTGTCTCCCCACCTACGGCCACACAACAGAGACTCACTCTCAACATCCCACCCCAGCCAAGCCCAGGGCATGGCCACCTGTCCTCTGCACCCCACCCCCAGCCCACTCACATAGGTTGTGCTTGCGAGCAATGTAGCGAAGGATGGCGTTGCTCTGGGTGATCTTGTGAGCCCCATCAA